TAAAATGGAAAATGTGGAAACAGCTTTGGCTGATACCCCTGCTTCCACGAGGATGTTCTTGGCTTCTTTACAGTGATTCATGTGCAAGAATAAAGTCTGTATTGATTGATTGAGAGCTATCTCTGGGTAACTGATTTTCCTACATACCTGGCTCGTTTTGCATCGCTGGGTTTCTCTTCATCTTTATGTAATGAGCAGGGATGGCAGACCATGTAGCACCTGGTGAAAGTATTTTACACCTTAATGAGCCCAGTTAGTCTTAGCTGGAATTTCACGCACAGCACAATCCAAATGATTCCGTTTTCAGGAGCTCTGCATCTTCAAGATGCTTTGCTCAGTTTTGTTCTGGTTTCCTCAGTGGTTTCCCAGGACTGTCAGACCCCTGTTTAGTTTCTGACAGAACAGAGCAATTTCCTGAGAAGAGGCAGTAGGAAGGCACAGATTCTGGTTTTTGTCTTCTAGCCTTAACAATCAATCAATACTGTGCAAAGCTGGGCAACGGAAACTGATTCAGGGACCAGAGAATCCTATGAGAAATGGATTTCTTGGGTCTGTCAGATTCCTCTTCTGTCCTATCCTAGGCTCAGGATGCCTCGCCGGTTACCAGGGCTCTGACTGGCTCCTTCAGCACAAAGAAGATGAGCTGTGACCGCAGGTATGCTGTGAACCGACAGCGTGGCAGGGAGGGAAAGCGCTTCAAGCTCCTGCCAGATGAGCCTGTCACTAGAGCAGCGCTCTCCGTTATCGCCACACTGCCGGGGACCCCGCAATTCCCTGCCGGGAACTTCGCAGCTAAGTGAAAGCCCCATCGACTGCCCCGGGATTCCTGCTCCAGCCCTGCCCTTCCCTTCCCTTCCCAGCCCGCAGCCACCTCCTGCCATCGGGGGACGAGGCAGGCGGGCGCTGGGCTGCCTGCAGTGCCCTCTCCTGGGCTGCAGCAGCACGGATGGCCCTGCTTGGCATGGCAGCATTCGCAGGGTTAAAAGGCTGCTCTCAGTTTTGTGGCTTCTTTCCAAAAGGTTTCAGTTAACACCAAAGGTCTCCTTATAGCTCGCTCGCTTTAATAGATTTTTCCCATTGACTTCTCACTTTATAGACTATCATTTCCTTTCCTGCAGGGGAGCTATTTTCTGGGTCACTGATCCAGCCAACTTAAAAGGGGTTTCATTGATTGGGTTTTATTGGTGGTTACTTTAACCATAATGGGATAAGTTGCTAGTACCTGCTAACACCTACGTGCCTCGCTTTGGTACCCTGGCTCCGTACCTCTACAAGTGAAATCTGGGCTCCTCTCCCCTGCCTTGATTGAGGGCCTGCTAACTACTAGCACCTCCTTACTACCTCAGTTGCTTTTGTCCTTCTTCACTTCAGTACAGCAAGTAAGTTGCATGGCCAAGTGTTGCTGACAAAATCCTCTACTTGTTGAATGTGGCACCTTCTTCCAGTTGTGTCTGCTTATCTCTGATCATCCCTACAGTCACACAAATACCCCCCAACTGCCACGAGGAAAGCTAAATATAACACTGCAGCATCAGGCCTTGGAAGCTGAAGAGAATGACAGGGGATTTCTTTGTACTCCCTGTCTCTTTACAGGACACAGGGAAAGGGACTCGGGGGTAGCAGGCTGCTGCTCACTCCCATTTCCCTAAAAGTCCCTTTCTTGGCACTTTCTCTCCATACATCCTGAGCAGATATTTCTCTATTTGCTCCCACAACGGCCCTGGTACATTATAGCCGCATGACAATCAATTAACTGCTCACTCTATCACAATAAAGCAGCCACCCATCCTTATATAACTCTTTTTAATTGTTTTCTTACATTATAACGTTTTGCTAAACTTATTCTGCCATAACTTACATAGTTTAATTTCTCAAAGTGCTAATAATCTAATTGCTTCCTTCCTGCAGACAAAGTGCCGGAGCCATTTTCTCTCATTTCAGAGCATTATAAAAAGTAGCTGGCATGAATACCTAAAAGGGGCAGTTTATTCACAAGACCTTAGAGAGAACTGCTTTCTCCAGAGTGTCTGTGGTACGCCTTAGGCAGCCATAAAGAAACCTACCCAGACACTTCCTTGCACTTTGGGACCATCTTCCCCATAGAAAATCACTTTGAGATTAGAAGCGTGGCAAGGCTCCTAAGCAGAGTTCTATGGGCTAGTGGGGCTCTCCTGCCATGTCAGAGAATCATAGAACAGTTAGGGCTGGAAAGGACCTTAAGATCATCTATTTGCAACCCCCCTGCTTGAAATGAAGCAATGACATTGGAATTACAAGTAAGTAATTCCTGCTACCACAGATCCTCTTGCAGACTGCAGGAAGAGGCTGAAAAGAAGCAATCTTTGCTATTTAGGCTTGAGGAAAAGAGCGTACCAGCAGAAAGACATTCCGTGCATTTCAAACCTTGATTAATAACCCCTGCCTGCAATTCACAATTCCCGAGTCTCCTGTTTCTAGGAAGATGGATTAACTACCCCAGAGCTGGGTTTGAGCTTCTTTGGGCACAACCTTTCTTTGCTACGTTCACATTACTAAACTATACCATGAAGAACAGCCACAATACCCCAAAACGCTCCGTGATGGACACATTAGGAAGGGGATTGCAGAGCAGTCTGCAAGTTGCCAAGTGAGAACTCACGTTTTCTGTTTCTGTGCAACGGAGTGGCCGGGCCGATTTCATGTCTAATGTTAAGAAACCCGAGTTCTTCATCCAGCTGTTTCTTTACTGTTACTTTTCTAAAGGCTATAGGTCTGCTCATGCTTCATTCATGCACAGAGAACTTTGGGGGGGTTTAGCTTTCACACTGTCATTTTCTGAGACATTTGTTCCTGTTTCTGTCAGGATCTATCACCAGCAGCTTTATATTGCACTAACCATCGCTGGTGCAAACTGGGCTTTCTCAACCCAGTACAATAGATGAAGCAGCTACACCTTGGGGGTGGACACAAGAAGGGGGAGAGAGATTAGACACACAACTCAATTGGTAACTAAGGAAAATAAGCTGTAAACCCAGGGAAGAAACATTTTAGGCAGCGTGGATTACAGTGGTGGAATAAATCTATTGCTAATACCCCATAAGAAAGAACCAGTTCCCCCCTGGTTTGTGTATCACTTCTGAACTCTTCACAAGCTCTATACTTTAAGAAAAAAAGGTAATAGAAGGCAATTAATCACCGTGCATGTTAATTGCTGAGCCTGCAAAGAGAAACTCGGGAATCATAGTCCCACAACTGATTAATCAGCCTCTGAAAACAAACATGACACATTCACACAACAAGCCCATGAGGAACAGAGAAGAAACTATCAAACAAGTGACGTAATTTGCCACCTGTAATTTTTTACTAACCTTTTACCCATCCTGAATATTCCCTGGTAGGAAGCCAGCAGCTTTCCCAGGAAGCTCAGCCTTCTCTCTTCTCTCATACCCTGTTTATAAACTCTTCATCCTCCAAATCATTCACCAACAGTATTTGTATCATTCTGATCTTGTGAAACCAGAAGAGAGAATTCATATAGATCCCTGAGAAAAGCACAGGACACAGAAAGGAGCAGGTAGGCAGGCAAACTAATTTAAAACATGATTTATTCCCCAGGGCCATTGCTGTCATCAAGGGATAAATCAGAGACAGGCCTTACTCGTGATCAGCAGCATCAGTTTCACCTTGGATATGTAACTCATCATCAATACCAGCTGCGATTGATCTCTTGAATGTGCATCTGGGTGTAAACATCCTGAGAGCACGTTCTCATTCTGCCACCACAGACAGGTCAGGACTGTGTTTCAATTGGGTTTCCTGATGGAGTGGGAGTCCTGGGAATGCTGGGGCTGGCAGAAAGATCAAAATATATACGGACTAGGTCATTACAGATGTTATTCTGCATAACAGACATCCCTTTCCTAGCGAGCACATCAGTCTGTCACACTGGTGATGCCAGCTATAGAGAAAATGTCCAAAATGTACAGCTCCTTTTAGTCTTGAGGATAACTTTCCCTTTTCCTTCTTTTTCTCTCGAGTGTCTAGCTCTCTTCCCGGAGATGGCATTCCATGAACTATTGTCTTCTCATCACCGGGTCCCAGCTATTTCTGATATTTTTTGTAGGATAAGTAGGCTCAATAAATGTTAAATGGGACCATGGAACTTAAAGGAGGGATTTGAAAGAATGGCAGGACACACTGGTATGCGCAAAAGCAAACCCACTTTTCTGCTGTGCGAATTCCAGGAGTAGGTTTTGATTTTGTATTTTTGTCCCTCAAGAGAATAAACCTGATTTTGACAGCCAGGGCCTTCGTTATTTTCAGTCCAGAGGAATGAGCGAGGTTTTTTCCTCTAAATCTTGTTGAAAGTTCAATAACTTCCCCAGAACAGAACCGAATGTACCTGAAGCTTTGAAATGACTGCAATGTGCGTGAGAAACAGCGAACCTGATCGTGTGCCGCGCTGGGTGGGCGTCTGGAAGGGCAGGCTGAGCACAGCTCTGCCGCTCACCACAGGCCCAGCTGGAGCGCCTTCGCAGCCTCTCATCAATGAACTTCGAGAGGGTTTTTTTATGAATGGGAGCTCCGCCATTGAATGAACACCAGGGCGCTGCGCTCCGATTGGCCCCGAAGGCTAAACTCCGCCCACTGTTTCCGGGGGGGACGAGGGCCAGCGGGAGCGGGGATTGGCGGGCGTGCCCCAGCCTTGAGCTTCATTCATAAATTCGCTGGAACAAAGGAGTGGGCGAGCCGCGGCTGCGATGGGCCAATGGGAGGCCGCCCCCGGGCCCCGCAGCGGTCTCACGGCCCAGAGGGGCGGGGCCATGCCGGGCTCCGCGTGGGCTGCGAGCAGCCGCCGGTGAGGGACGGGCACCGGCACCGGCACCGGCACCGGGACCGGGACCGGGACCCGGCTGGAGCTGACGAGCTCGGTCCCTCCTCGGAGCCCAAGTTTCGGCAGCCGCGGACGCCGGGAGCCTGGGGGAGCCGTGCCGGGAGGCAGGCAGGGACCAGCCCGGCGCACGGGCGGCGGGATGAAGGCGTACCTGGACCAGCGGGTGCCGTTCACGCTCCCGCAGGTGAGCGGGGAGAGGTCGGGGGTAGAGGCGCGGGACCCCTCTGGCCGGGTCTGATCCGCTCCTCCCGCAGCAGCCTCCGGGCCAGGCGGCTCCCGGCGGAGCTCTCATGGGCGTTGGGAAGAGAGCCGCGGATCCGGGCTTGCTGCCGCCGCAGGATTCGGAAGGTAAGGGGGAGCGGGAGGGGATGGTGACAGTGAAGGGGAAGCCGAGTGGGCGAGGAGCGGGTTCCCTGCGCCTTGGTTCCGCCGGCCCTCCCCAGCGCTCCGCTGAGGAAACCTCTCGCTTTCCGCGCAGAGCTCTTCCAGGACCTGGGCAGGCTCCAGGAGACCTGGCTCACAGAAGGTAGGTGCTTCCCTCGCTCCCTTCTGTCTGTCTCTTGCCGCTCCTGTGCTCTGTTTGCCCGGCTTCATGCTGTAAGCGCTTTATCGAGGCTTGCCAGCCTCTGGCTTGTGAGAACCAGGAGGCGTGAATCGCGCTATGGTGCAGGGTGTTTGTTCGTGAATGGAACTTGGCAGCTGGCCACTTATTTCCCTGGTTACGGTTTTCGCTTCAGGCTACTTGTAACTGGTTCTATTTCGTGCTAATTTCATAAAATCAGAGTCTGGTTTGGGTTGGAAGGGACCTCTTTGAAAGGGACGTTCCTGGAACTGACCCACTGCTCAGTTTGGCGTCTGAATTGTTCTGCCGTTTGACTTCAAGAAAGAGCAAACTTCAAATCCCAGGAAGTCCCATTAATGCAAAGCGAAATCGTTTTTACACCGTGCACTGAATTTGCTTAATTCCAGTGCTACAAATGATCGGTTTTGATTTGATTAATCACATTTAAACCAGATCCTCAAGCACAAACTCTTGCTTAACACAAAAGTGCTTATTACGATGTAGGAGCTTTACAAATATTTCACAATGATACTATAAAAATACACATACTGGTGAAAAAGGGGGTTTTAAGTCTCCAAAAAGGTTTTTGTCGATTAAGGGGGGGAAAAAAAAAACTAAAATCAGATGGTTTATGTTCATTTCAAGCTGAAATGACGCTGATCAGGCAGCGGTCAGGACTGGGAGGGTTGGAAGGATGCAAGAGGAATTACCTGGAGGCTGTTCAGGATTGAAACACTCACCTAACTTGCATCAGGGCTGAAAAATGAGTTGCTGCTCATGTCCTAGATCTCTTGAATGTGCACACAGGCTTGAGACTGATTTCTCTTAACTGCTCAACAATCTGGAGCTGCTGAGAAGAGACGTTTGCTTCAGAACTGATTTCTAATGGTTGGTAATATTTTTAGCTCACTAATCTAAATAATTCGCATAGAATCGCTTACAATACGATTGTCAGTAGCAGGGTGTTTGGAGAAGGAATTCACAAGTATCCTGGGGTGAAGGGAAGGTCACACATGGTCTCATAGCACTGCACAGAAAGAGGGAATCTGCTGCTATACATGATCACTAAATGTTCATGAAACCCTATTGCATGAGTGTGCCTAGAATATAAGAACAGATATATATATGTAAGTATAAATGCAGGTTTGGGGAAAGCAAGAAAATGTCTATCTGTATTGCAACTATATGAAGTAGATAATGAATATTGTGGGTTGGAACTAGACCATCTTTAAGGTCCCTTTCAACCAAAATCATTCTATGATAGTATAAAAACACATATTTTCTCCTGCAACTTGGCCTTGTAGCCTTCTACTCCAGCACTGCAAGTAGCACTGTGCAGCAGTGGGGCTGTGTGCTCTCACTCCAGCCATTCAAATCCACTGCCCGTTGTTAATGCGGTGTTATTCCCTAAGGTTTATTTTTGGCATGTCTTGTCTTAGCTTCAAGTGACTGAGATTAGTGGGTTTCCATTGTCCATGTCCCTTTACTTTGACTACATCACCTTTGCTTTAGAGCTGAGGGAGTGCACGCTGCAACATCCCAAACTCTCGGTTGCTCTGTTCTGTACCAGCATTTCTTTCAGCGGTGCTTTGTGAGAGGTTTTGTGAAATATCAACTGCTCCAGGCTGTCCCCTGCAGTAAAAGGGATGGAAAAGTAATTGTTAGAAGTAATGAAATACTCTAACACAACGCGTGCTGTGGTTAAGGTTCTCCCCACAGGTTCTCCCAAGGCACACCCCAAAGCTTAGGTCTTTACCACATTAGTTGCTGCCTCTGGATAAGGGAGCACAGCTCAGGAGGTGGACTGAGGCCACCTGCTCTACTGGAAGGTGTCCCTGCACATGGCATGGGGTTGGAACTGGGTGAGCTTTAAGGTCCCTTCCAACACAAACCATTCTATGCTAATGTTGTTAACTGTTTCCCTGCTCACCGCATCCAGTAGCATCTCGTTCCAAAGGGATCGGCTGCTCTAAGGGCAATGAGGCCTCTGCAGATTTTCAGATGTCTTTGTTAGACAGTCTTTGACACATTCAAACGTCTCAGACCTTGCTGTTATTCTTGGACTTGTTCTAACAATGCTGTCCATGGGGCAGATGCCTCAGAATAAGCTTTACTGTGCTGATACGTGGGGAAAGAACAACTGGTTGCTGTCAGGTCCTCTTTGACTACACCAGCATTTCCCATTGCAAACCACACACGCTATTAACATTATACACACTATTCACCATCTCCCCTTCCTGCTACCAGATATTCTTTTTGTTCTTCTGAAATGTTCTCCTGCAAATGTATTAGTTGGTAGTTGCTTTTCCTATGCTAAATGCTTTAAAAATCCCTGTGTGGTTTGTTTCTAATGCAAACTGGGAAGCCTGAGCTGATAAACTTGCTGTTGTCCTTATTTCCAAGGCAAGGGAGAAAGAAGCTGGCAGATTTAAGGGGCAAATCTGCAGGCAAAAGAACGGTACTCATTAATCCCCAAGGGAAACTCGCCTTAGTCACTAAAGTGCATCCCAGCAGAAAGCTCGGACGGATCTTTCCTGCATAGGCTTATTTCTGCCTTACTGTTAATTACACCATACAAAGTGCCAAATCTAATTCTCCTCTCCCTCTCTCCCTCCCCTGGCAGCTCAGGTTCCAGACAGCGATGAGCAATTTGTGCCTGACTTTCATTCAGAAAACTGTAAGTAGCACGGGGGTGATCACACACCTCAGGGCAGGCTACACTGCAACCAAACCCATAAATGCAAGGCACGGGCATTGAGGCTGAAGTACTCATCTGATTTCTGTGTTGTCGTGGAACAGGTTGTTGTGATGGTGACAAAAACAACCCCCATGCTAACTGTCCACATCTGCACAGTGCAAAAGTATCTTTGTGTGGTGGTAGCTGCACAGTCCCTTATGCACAGTGGTTTCAACGGATAATGTGTTTTAGTTGGGGTAGGTGTGAAGAATTAGGCCTCCCTGAGCAGCTGTGGAAATGTGTCGCCGTGACAATCGGATGTTAGATTTGTGCTATTCCTCCTCCCAAAGCAAAATAAATCAGCACGGAATTGTGGTGCTGTGACCCCTGCAGGTGCTTTTGGGGGGCTCTGCTCACCTGCGGGGCCCCTGCCTGAGCATCCGCTGCCAGCGTGGCCTCTGTGAGACAGCGGTCCTGTCTGCTGCGGGAGGACACAGCATCCCTGGAGATGTGCTTGCTGGCTTGCTTGCTCTCTGTTCTTACGAACAGATTGCATGTGCTCACACAGGAGTGCACAAATGTGTGCTCTGAGAGCTGGGCAAAGCATTCAGGTTACAACGGAGCTGAACCTTGCACCCAAAGGCCGTGCAGCTCTTTCTGCTTTCCTCCCGCTGGCCCTGCAGCACAGCCGGGTTTGCTCTCTGAGTCATGTATCTTGCTTCTTCCTCTTTTTGACCCAGAACTGAGGAGAGGGTTGGTCCATGTAGCACATTGAATGAATGAATGAATGAATGAGCCAGTTGTAATGCAATAGCCTGTTCCAGCTAATAGGGGCCGGAAAGAATTGGCTGCTCCTAGCACAGCCAGCTTCTTGACACTTCAATGGAGTGCAGTGTACTGGGCAAAGCAGTTTGGTTTTGTCCAGCCCTCCTTCCCCCCCCATCAGGCTCAGCTGACACATCATCACTTTTAGATGGGTTCTATGTATTTGCTTAAGCCATCCACTGGAGAGAGCTGCTGCAGACAGGAAGGGAATGGATGCCGCAGGCATAGCAAGACCCTTTTGTCTTTGGACCCTTGCGTGGGCCTGGGGTGTTTGCACCAATGCAGGGGGGTCACATCTGGGGTACAGAATCCAGCACTCACCTGCAGCAGCTTGGGCAGTGCCAAGAGCTGTTTGAGCCAAAACTGATGTTCGATGGCAGCCCTGGGAGCAGCCATGGGAGCCACTTCTCCCTCAGAAGCTGCCGCAAACAATCCGAGGCTCCGGTATCTTATGAGTTCACTTGTTCCTCTTGCTCCTGTCAAGCTGGCTGGATCCCTTCGGATGCTGGCAGGGTGTAAGGATGGGCTATTCCAACACCAGCTGAAACCAAAGCAGGCAAAAGGAGTCAGGTTGGGGTTGGTTTTCCCCTCTTGCTGAGGAAGTTAATTCTGGAGAGGGGTGTCTGCGATAGAAAGTGGCCTTAATCCCGTGTGCCTAGAGACAGCAGCCATCCCTCCAGCCGTCCCGATAGCCACTTGCTGCAGCACTTCAGAAGGGACGATGTGTCCTTGTGTGAGGGAGAGCTGGCTTGAGGCTGGCTGGTGCACACCGAGCTCGGGTCAGTCCTGAAGCTAACGCAGTGAAAGGATGAGGTCGGGCTGCTTCTTGCCATCCTGAAAACAATCCTCACAGCTCTGAACATCCCAGGCTCTGTCGGCGGCATCGCGTCGGCTCGAAGAGGTGGGAGGGATCTCCTGGGGAAGGACTGCAGCTTATGGGAAGTTCACAGTTTTGATGGGCAGGGAGATCTTTCCCCTGTTTGAAGAACCAGCCTAGACCCAGGTACCTTCCTGCGGTCACTTTTCTTCCCTTACTAAGTGTCAGCGAGCTCCTAAGAGCATCAGCAGAGCCCAGGGGCAAAGGCAGAAGATGCTTGACCATGTCCTTCCACTGGGATCAGCTTCTCTGAGGAACTCGTGAAGGCAGTTTTGCTCCCTGCTGGATTTAATCAAGCATGAAAAGGAACAATACCCACATCCTACTTCCTGGTGCTGTAAACTGCAACCCGCATTTGTTATTCGTGAAACCCTAACCAGCCCGAAGATCCCTTCTTGTTTGCATTAGGCCACGAGCATGAACCGCCGGGCTGGCAAGGCAAAGAAACCCTTTTCCTTTGTGCCTGGGTTGTCCCTGATGTTTCGGCTGAGCAGAGCAGTTCAGGGATTCCCCCAGTCCCACACTGAGGGTTATTGGACTGTCAGCATAGAAGAGGTTTAACACAAGGAAACCTGTATTAGGAAATGATACGGGGAGCTGCAAAGTACCCATTGGCAGCCTCCTGCCCGGGAAGCACCGGTATTAACCTGGTACAACTGATGACATTAGGTATTGAGAGGCCTGGAAGCTGCTCTTCCACCTCTGAGGGATATCACAGTGAAAGCAAGGACATGGAAGTCAGACTTCCGGGTTTCACTTGTATTGTATTGCAATAGGATGCAATACAAGCAATAGTATTTATTTTCGCTCAGAAAACCTTCAGGTTTTCAGCTGTGTCTACAAACCCCTGACATTTATTGTCTACTGGACAAGCAAAACTATCAGGGTATCATACTAGTGCATTATCATTGAAGGCTACGTGGTGATGCTACTCCCAAGACATGCTCACCAGGGATGCACTGGGCTTGATGCAAAGCAAAACTTGGCTTTTATGTGGTTAAAACAGAGTATGTGCAAACTGTCCCAGCCTGTGCAGCTCAGGAAATACCCACTTCAAATCCCTTCTGGAATGATCGCAGAGCACGTTAGCACTTACCTTCGATTTGCTCTTGTAAGGTTGGTGTATCACACAAATCCTCCTGAACTGAGGGCAGAGCTCAGGTGCATCCAGCAATCACTTGTGCCTATTGCTGTTCCTCTGAGCCACCTGAACAAGCACAGGGTGGTGGAATCTCAACTGACTTTTCCTGGCTGATAGATGTAAATGTAAGCGTATTGCTCTCTCTATACCCAAGCAAAGTCTCAACCTGGTCTCTCATTTCTCTCCTACAGTAGCTTTTCACAGTCCTCCTGCTAAGATTAAACAGGAGCCACAGAGTCCCTCCTCGGACCCCACGCTGTCCTGCACCCATAAGCAGCCATTCCAGTACCCCAAGGGCGAGCAGTGCCTTTACACCAGGTAACACAGCTTACACAGGGGAGGTGGCAGGAGCTGCTCTGAACTCAAGCACTACTGCATCAGCTAATAAAGAGGTGTTATGACAACAGCCTGGTCTGTCTGCTGGGTAAGGGCAGCGCACACGTGCTGCAGTGGGTCAGCTCATGGCAGCCTGCTCATGCTTCCATGTATTGCACTGCATAGGGCAGACCTCTTTAGGGTAGATCTGGGCTCACCTCTTTTTTCTCTTCCCTGGTGCCGTTCCTCAGCTCCTCTGATGCTGAGAGCATCTCTCATGTGCCTTTCTCTCCCCACTGCCTTCCAGACTCTGTCCCACAAGGAGCTCCCTGACACCGTTGCCCACAGTCCCAGCTGCTTGCCTGAGTTTTAATACGGGTTCTTCAGCACAGACACATCCAGTGTTCTCTTTGAAGGGTTATTGCTATCGGTTATTGCATGGGGCAACCAGAAAGGAAGGAGTTTATGCCGGGGGGTTTTGGCCCGGGAGGCAGCACAGAGGGGCAGTGTCTGTGTGAGAACTGTAATGCTCCAACATCTGTTTGTCCCCAGTGCCTATGATCAACCCAGACAAGTTGGAATCAAGTCCCCCAACCCAGGAACCCCGCTGCAGTCACCATTTCAACCGTTCCCTAGACAGGACAGAAGCTTCCTCACCCCTGCGGGGCCACAGCATCCCACATCCAGCTGTGGATACTCCAACGAGAACAGGTGAGTTACTGCCAGGAGGAGGCAGGCACTGGGAAGAAGGGTTTCCACCTCCGTGCCTGAGGGAGGGAGGGGCTGCAGCATCCAGGTTCAGGCGCTCAGCTTCCAGCCATCACGGCATCCCCCCCATCCAAAGTACCTGGGACCCACCACTGCTGCCTAGGGTCTGTAAGCCTAAGCCTGTCAGGTTCTGCAGGCCATGGGCTCTGTAGCTGCCATGGCAAACCTCTTTCACGAGGGTCCCTTCCTTGCCCCAGCCACACGTGCAGCTCCTGGAGCCCTTGTAACAGGCTGAGGCTGAGTTTCTGTTCCTCAACCAGCCCTGCCCCGGGGCCAAGATCAGAGGGGCCAAGCAAGCAGCCAGCCCGTGTCCTCTCCCCTCTTCTAGCTCTGTGTACCAGCCACCTGTGGAGACGTTCTGCTCCTTCCCCTCCTCCCAGGGCACAGCCCAGGAAGACCCTATTGCCTACCAGCGCCAGATGTCTGAGCCCTGCCTCCCATACCCTCATCAGGGCCTCAAACGGGAGTACCAGGACCTGCGGTACGAGCAAGGCAGCCAGGTGGGCAGCGGCAGCCAGTACCCAGCAGCTCTGGTGATCAAGCAGGAGCAGGCGGACTACGTGTACGACTCAGGTAGGATGAACTGGCTCTTTCTGACTGCGTAAAGCTGGCATCAATGGGGGTGAACAAGCTCCTGGGTGAACACACATGGCTGATGGCTTTGGAACGCTACTCCAGCATCCTCAGGCACGTGTGTGGTCTGGGAGACAGGCTGAGCGCAAGAGAAAAGGGTTGCAATTCTGGAAACCTCTCTCTAAGACACCTCTAAGAGGATCGGGTGATCCTCTTATCTTCCCACAAGGGAGAAGTCTTATTTCAGCAGACCTGTCCACCAGACCCTGACATCACAGCACCCTCTTCCAGAGGGAACGTTACTTGTGGTCTCCTTCTCCATTGTGAAGTGTTTTCCTTAGCAGAACTGGATAGATAAGTCAAAAGCTCCTATGAGGGTACAGAATCCACCACTGTGGCTATGCTGATACTACACGTTCACCGGGTCTTTCTGTCCAGACAGGGCAAGCAAATGTGCAAACCCAGAAGCATGCTGTTTGTGAGGGTAGTTTATGACTGTAATAACACCCAGTCTCAGCCCAGAGTAGCCTTTGCCCTTAGCATCAGCAAAACGTCTGCTGCAAGCACTAGCTGTACACAGGAGTCCGAGGGAAATGGAAGGTAAATCTTTCCAAAGCCCCCAGTTACAGCTCATGGCTCAGGTGGGAATGAAAACCAGGTTTGAAACAGAAAGCCAAGATTCAGAATACACAAGATACAGAAGACAGGCCCTGCAGCGCTCGCGCGCAGAGACCATGAGAAGACTTGCTGCTTGTTCTCAAACTCAGCCTATACTTTCCTTTATGTTTTCTGAGCTGTTTCTGAGCATATGATGTGAAAAGAGACAGGGAGACTGAAGACATCTGCAGTCACAGTTGTGGCTGAAGGAAATATTCAGATGCTGCTACAAGTGAGGTCTACTACAACGTAAGACCACCAAGAAAGCAAAGTGATGCTGCTACTCTCCATTAACATGATGGTAGTACTCCTGGGGAAAGGTACTGCCTTCTCACCTGTGGAAACAGCAGCAGAGCGTGGTTATCTTAAACTCGGATAAGGGAGAGGTGTCATAGAAACTTAGCCCATCATCCAAGGTTTTGGATGGAGCGTGCATGGGTGACTGATCCTGGCTCCTCTGAAGGACGTCATGGGATAGTACTACGGAAACGTACGACTAGGATTCATGCTTGGAAGCGGGATGAAGACGAGGTTGTGGTGGGATGGCTGAGACATGAAACGTTCTCAGTCTGCCACTACCCTTTCAGGAGGGCCTTAGGAGGACGTTGGTTAGAAAGCAGCGTTTACCTGCCCGCCTCTGGAGATCAAGCTCCTTCTGCTCCTGTGCTTCTTAATGAAACAAGTTTATTACTTGCTCTGTAGATGTTCCTGGCTGTCCTTCCATGTACATAAATGTGGAGAGTTACCCGAGCCATCCAAACACAGAAGATACATTAGGTAAGAACCTCAGTGACTGTTGTCTTTCCCCTGCATTGCATTGCCCTCTGTACTACCTCTACGACTGCCTCTGTTGCTTCCTCTTTCAGGCTGCAGCTATGACAAGCGGATGAGGTCCTTCACTGATGATGTCTGCGTTGTTCCAGAAAGATTTGAAGGTTGGGAAAAGAATGGCTCGGAGTTTGGGTGACAGATGGGGTTATCCAGCATCTCTGCCAACCGCTTACCCACTGTCTGCATAGCTGGGTACACTGTGTTCCTGCAGGGGTGGTAGCTGGGGTTCAGACCTGCCTCTGGGAGATTCCATTCCTTGAGCTCTTTGAACAGCAAAGAGGCCTTTTACCATAAGCAGCTTCATTGTGAGGCTCTCCAGAGCTCCTCGGGGCAGAGCTGCTGGTGAATCGGCTGCTCTGCTGTGCTTGAACTGGAATATTCCAGGTGTGAAACGTGCTTTGTGTTTGGTAACTGCCTTTGCAGCGTTACCTGAGCAACACCCGCTTCGTTCTCTCCGCAGGAGACATCAAGCAGGAAGCTGGAGGGTACCGGGAAGGGCCCCCATACCAGCGACGGGGATCTCTCCAGCTCTGGCAATTCCTTGTGGCTTTGTTAGATGATCCAACCAATTCCCACTTCATTGCCTGGACTGGTAGAGGGATGGAGTTCAAGCTCATTGAGCCAGAAGAGGTGAAACCATCAAAGCAGTTAGCTTCTCTACAGGCTCGGGGGAAGCAGCCCCTGCTCCTGAGGCTGGAAGTTCCTCTGCCCTGGGAAGGCTCCTGCCTACCAGTGGTACCTTCAGTCAGGTGCTGACAGCAAATGGGCTCTGTAGTGGGAAGGAGAAAGATTTACATCACACAGGGCTCTTCAGTTCGAGTCCTACCCTTCTTGTTGGAAAGCTGCTAAGTAATTAGTTTGAATCTATTACTGTGTGCTTGTATGTGTTGTGGTACCATTCCTCACAAGAGAATCTGCTGGATAATGTTCTTTTGCCCTTGGGTTGGGTTCATGGACATTCATGCACGTGGTTGCTTTATTCTACAGGTAGCCAGGCTGTGGGGTATCCAAAAGAACCGTCCGGCCATGAACTATGACAAGCTGAGCCGATCCCTTCGCTACTACTATGAGAAGGGCATCATGCAGAAGGTCAGTTTGCAAACAGATGTGGGGTTTATGCCTTTAATGATGCTTTTCATGTTTGAGATAGGAAGCCTTTCTTCTTCTGTACCCGGCTGCAGTCAGGAGAGTTGGCATTTGTGCAGCTGCAAGGATGGATAATCAGTGTAGACTTCCAGCTGGTGAGCAAAATGCTGCTTGGGGTTGATGCTCTGTGGCAGGGATGGTGTCTTCCAGATCCAGAGCACTGGAGAGGATAGCTGTGAGTGTAATCATGTCCAGTAGAGTCCAGCCAGGCTCTGCGGATGCTGTTGCTACCTGGACAGAGTCAGCTGGCAGCATCCCATTGCCCAAGGGCTGTGTCAGGGGAGCCCAGAGCAGCAGGAAGACAGCACCAGGGGTAGTTTAAAACTCCGACAGGTCCCAGGGTGATGTGCTGGAGCAGGCAGAGGGCTTGCAAACCTCCCTGCTGCCTCGGAGCACTGCGTGGTGCTGCCTGGGCGCTTGCAGCATCCATCCCTTCTCCCCTGCAGGTGGCCGGGGAGCGCTACGTGTACAAGTTCGTGTGTGAACCCGAAGCCTTGTTCTCTTTGGCCTTCCCCGATAACCAGCGGCCAGCTCTGAAGGCAGAGCTGGACAGGCAGGTCAGTGAGGAGGACACGGTGCCTCTGTCCCACCTGGATGAGAATGCTGCTTACCTGCCAGACCTTGGGAGCCTCCCTGCACAGCTTTACAGCAAGGGCTACATGTACTAGCACCGCCGGGAACACACTCTGCCGCCTTTGCTTGTGTGTAGTAAAAGTCTGGATAGTGTTCAATCAGTATAAGCAGTTTTCCAGGCCAGCCTGGGGTGGCACTGAACTATGGATACCTGCTTTGGTCAGGAAAAGCGTTCAGGTACACGTGGGTAAGCACCTGACAGGGCTCTTGTGTGCTTGTGGCAAGCCCCTCATATTGATCAGGATGGGGCTCGGGCTCAGTCTTAGTGAAGCAGACGTCCGAGCAGCAGAGCTGCCATCCCCCAGGGCTCTCTTACAGGTACAAGGATGCTACAGTGCTGCTGCTGCCTCCATTCCTCCCCTACATGTACTGCACCTCTGTATAAGCTGTCCTCGGCTGTCTCTGACCCATGTGGACTCACCTCTGCAAGGCCAGGCCTGTCTTCTTCCCAGGATGGCTGCAACGCAGCACTCACAGATCATACACCTTCCCTGGGACCTGCTTTGTGGGGATGGGGAGCACTTGCCCTGTACATGCATAGTCCTGCCTTGTCACCTCCTTGCTCACAACGCTTAATGCCCGGGCTGTCTGAGCAGGGCAGCTGGAGGCACCGGCCAGGACTGCGTTACCAATCCTGCCCCTGTGGCAGCTTGTAGCAGAAATCCTCTATATTGATTGAAAGCCTCATTTCCCTCTCAGCCTCTCCCCCTGCATGGCTGATGCCAACCCTCTTAGCCTTGTCCCTGGGTGTAAGGGCCAGGAAAGGCAGCTCCCTCCCTCTCTCAGGCCAGGGACTCAGAGCAGCCTTCTACACCAACGCCTTTGCTTGCCCCCTGCAATCCAGAGACTTGGTGTTCTGGCACCTGCCATCCCGCCTGCCCTGCTGAGCACTTCCTCTGGTGTCCCAGAAGCGAGGGTGAAGGGGAACCCTGCCATTGGTATAAGCTGCCTTTACTATTTATGAGTGTAAAAAATGCTGTAATTAATAAATTGGTTTATGGCTTTGGCCAAGTGCAACTTCATTCAGCCCCTGCCGGGTCCTCCCTTGCCTTCTGAGCTTGCTTTGCCTGGCTCCTCAGCAGCTTTGGGTAGCCCAGGCAGAGAGCTCAGGGGTGCCTGGTTACTTCTGAACCGTGGTGGAGTTCAAGAAACAAACACAAGCAGTCCTACAGCCAGGACTGAATGATCACAACGGAACATTGGCACTTCCTGCTGTACCTGGTGGCAGGGGAACATCCCCGGAGCCAGGAGCAAGGGCAGTACCACCACAAGTCCTTCTCTTTCTTGTATTAAGAGCAAACAGTTGGGTTTTGATGTGCTCATATACATGGGAACATGTGAGGTATTCTGCTGTGACTGTGGTGCTTGTGACAACCAGCTGATGTGTGGACACCGGCCACAGAGACTGAGCCATTCAGATCCACACCTCCCCAAGCAGAATGACCTTCTAGTTCTGTTTCACTTTATGAAGATCTAAAAGCATGAAAAAGCTCAGGGCATTTATACAACGTAATAAACCAGTATATACAACATCCCTGCCCACCTCTGTACACAGGCTTCCAATGGAACTATTTGTCAATGTGAAACATTCTCCAGTCCACAGAGTGTAGAATCTACTCACCAATGATTTTAGCAAATGTCCCAGCTTTAGAAAGAAAAGGAGAAAAAGAAAGATGGGGTCAAATCTGCAGCTCTGAAGTCAAGTTAAGTTTCATCTGCTTGCAACAGGAACAGTAATTCACAGATGCTTCAGCAGCCGCAGCACACTCTGGACAGTCAACTCCTGTTTAACCAAGGAACTGTTATGCAATGTTTCATAGACATGTGAGCTGTAAGAGCCCATTCAAGCCAAAACCCAACAGCTGTGAAGTCACCAAGCACTGCAAGTGGAAATAAAACACATGACGCATTGTAGGGAAAGGCGAAACATCTGTAAGCACTTATGCTCACAGACAGAGCCGTGCTGCAGAGTGGATGTGGTTAATTACTGCTCAATACATCAGCCTTCAGCACACAGAACATGGTGATGAAGGATAAGACCTGCAGTCTGACCTGTGCCATTGGCCAAGTAGGACTAACATCCTAGCTGTGTTTCAAGGGATCATTTCTGCCTTATCCCAAAGGCACAGATACTAAATATCTCACCACAGATGGCTTGCATAAGAGACAGTTACAGTGAACAGGAAAATGCATAAAATAGGAAAAATGGAGACCAAGCAGCTCCTCCAAACCAGCCACTGTACAGGAGTGTGAGCAGAAATAAATCCCTTTGTGCAGGGTAAAGAAATAAACGATTCCAGCCCACATTTTTCTGCTCATTCAGAACACAGGCTGGAGAAAAACAGTTTTCTACTCACTACCCTTTTGCTGTTGCTCAGCTCAGTGCCCAGACTGCAGAGTCTTGGGGTTTTCTCTCTTAAAAGGAGAAGGATTAAGGAACAATGGTTCAAGAAGCATTTCAGAACACTGAGAAGACCCAGGACATAGCCATGCAGCTATGGAACCCGAAGGGCAGCTGACATTAACACACATCGCCCCCTTGTGTTTTTGCTCTGAAAAGACTTATTTCCTGTTCATGGTGGAATTCAACCTCAACCAAAGGTTGAGTCCTGAAAGGACTCTTTGCAACAGTCACAGTGAAAGTTCCTGAGGGAAGCAGGCTCATCGCCGCCTGAATGCACGTGATATCCTCCAGGCATTGGGCTCCTCGTAGCGGTTGTAGAGGGGTTCCAGTCGCTGCTGCTTTTTCTGCTTGCTCAGCTTGGTTGGATCAGAAACCTTGAAGAAAGCTGGCGCAAATTCCACCAGCCAGCGAGGATCAATAGTTGTCACTTCACGCATATACTCCTTGGTGGTCAGCACCAGTTCATGATACACCACCCTGTAAATAGGGACAGCAACTTTGGAACTCGGTTTTTCCAAACAAGAGACAAAAGGCAAAGGCTGGAGTATCTAAGCTTGCCCCTTTATCTCCCTTTCACCCTCCTTCAGCATAAGGCTCCTTATGCTTCAGAAGAACACTCCAGAAGAACTATCTTCTTTTTCCCCTCCTAGTTCACAACTACTCTTCAGTACAGAGCTGCTTCATTCCACTTAAAATGAGTTTCCTCTCTACCGCCTCCCTAACACTCAGTGTTTTAAACTCACTTCCACAATACAAAAACACAGAACTGCAGGCTTCAGGCCTGTCCTTGGCTCAAAAAGTCCATCTCGCCTCTGCACAGGCACTAATTTTAACTGCAGAAAGAGCTAGAAAGCAGCAGCCTATACTCTGATCTGTACCCTACAAGTAGTGCACACCACAAGCTTTTAACTTACAAAGTCTGAACTGAAACAGAAAATGACATGACATTGCCTTACCATTCTGGCTGCCTGTTGAAGAGAGCACTGGATGGGTGGATATAGACTACTTGTTGATCAATTAGTGTCCGATAGCCTTCCTGGGGATCCTTCTTTGCTGCATTTCGGAAGAAGCCACTACAGATGGCTTTCTGGACCCGAACTGTTGCCTTGCCACAGGATACCACATCCAGCTTGTGCCTGCCAGGCAAGAGTTAGAAAGAAAATTAGAGTTGGTCAAGTCTAACCATCAAGAAAGCAAAGTCACCACTTGTGCTTCGTGCCATGCTCACCTGTCCATAATGCCCAGCATCTGCTTGCGGATGTCCTGGGCTCTGCGTAAGGATCGGGCCTGGATAAAGTTTTCATAGCACCAGGGATTTGAAAACTTATTGTTCTTCCAGGAATTGTAGACAGCCAGTAGAGTGAGGTGGTCCCCTTCTGTCTGATGGAACTTGGCTTTCTTCTGATCAGCAAGTGCTTGTTTATCCTAATATATAAAATAGTTATGAATCAGCATCGAGACAATCCCCATGCAACACTGAAGGTCATGGGCTCCTTGTCACTCCTACCCTGACATTTTAAGTCTACCAAGAAACAGGTGATGTAAGACTGAGAAAACAACATCTGGAGTGGTGAGTGGCTAAGCACCAAAGAGATGAGAATCTGAAGGTCACTGGCTCTCACTAGGCCAAAACCATGCCTGTATGAAAGGAAAGCCCAGAACTGTTCTGGCCAAAGAGAGACCCCAGTAGACTTTCCCAAAGTCTTTCCCATGGGTGACAAGGGAGCATCAGAAAAGATGAAGGGCCTAAGTGGCTCATGCATACAGCAGGAAGTCTTTGCATGCACTGAACTAGCTATTTTTTCACCACTCTAAAAGCAACCTCAATTATTCATCATCAAAGGAGCTGAAGCAGCAGCTCTGACCCTGCTCGCCTACCCACCTCTCCCCACTTCTCCAATGTGCAGATAAAACATTCAAACACTGTGGCTACCCAGATCAAAATAGAAGTTAGACTCAACTGCAGCAGTTCATCATAATGAAGAAATAATGCATTCAAGAAGAGTCTGCTCCTGAGAAATCCTACCACAGCACAGGCTGCTACTTGCTGACTTAGAAGAAATCAGCATAGGGTAGGACAGCCATGATAAAAGTGTACTCTGAAATCTGAAAATTACCAGAGCATTCTGAACTCCAGAGCTGGAGCTGGTTTAAGGTTGATTTAAGGTGTAAGGCTGGTTTAAGGCTGTACGTGTTTAGCGGGAAACACAAAAGAGAATGTGAGACTTCTAACTTCCATCTTCCCATCTGTAAAGAAACAACCGGCATCCACAGCTACAGGATGTTTAACCAAAAGGCACACTGGAAACGTAATGAATGAGCAAATAGTCTGACAAAGCTACAGATTTATTGTGTCAAATATGCTCACTCTGAGGCAGGCACAGAAAACCCACGTAAACAGTAACACTGCTGGTTCCTTACCTTTGGCCTGTAGAACACGTTCTGTACAGACAGCATGGAGACTATTGTCAACATCTCTTCGCTGCATCCCAGATGTACAGACATGATCAACATCTTACACAGCATAGGCTCCAAGGGGAATTCCGCCATCTGCAAGAAACCCGTTTCAAGATACCCTGCAATATCTCAGAAAAACCCTGAGTTCCCCCAGTGCAACAGAGAGCACTGGCCCTTTCTTCCATGCTTCCTTTCCAAAGCAGTGTGCTTTACTCAGAACAACTTTACTCAACACAAACCAAATTATTTCTCTATATTCACTATCCCAATACTTACAGGGAATTTTTAGATATTAATAAAAGTAATCCTATGAATAAGGAGAAATAATAG